AACTTTTGTACAAATTTAAATTTGAGGTAAACACATGTTACCATTTTCATTCACTTCCTTCTTTGCGTTAACATTCTAGATGTTCAAAGTTGTCAAGACCCTGGTAACCAAATAATAACTCACTATTTAGTTTTATCAATGTAGACATTTGTTCAGAGGGTGAAACCATGGGAAACTGAATTCCATTACAGAAATTTAAATTGCTATTTTAAAATGTTTCTCTTTTGTGTTCAGTACTCACTTTGTTTAGTGCCACAGTGTGTTGATTTTAACCAAACACAGTGGCATTCAAAGTAAACTTCCAAGTCAAGACTTGAAAGCCTCCACAGGATCAGACATAACACAAGGTGAGTGGATAAAATGATAAAAGCAAAGTGTATCAGAATAAAAACCACATTAGTTTCACATTTTCTAACCCTGCAGTCTTTTATAGAAAGTTAAGTGTTCTAAAAGATACTTAAAAATAAAGAACTCTTCTAGGAATATAAATAACTACATAGGGAACTTTTAAAATCCATAAAACAGAACTGAACTTAAACTAAAAAATAACTTCCTATTTTAAGATTTTATACCATAGGATGAAAGGGAAATAATAAATTTATTTTATTATTTATGGAGAGAATAATTTCCTTAGGATCTGCCCCCTACCATGCTATACAAAGTTTGGGGATTTGAATTGACTTCTTCATAATTCTACCCTCAGGGCTTAGAAAATGATTGGCATGTAGTAGGTTTTTAATAAGTATGTTTTTAACAAATGAGTGAATAAATAATCGACTAGATATTGAAGCAATTGGCTCCTGTGATAGCCTGAATATGATTCTGATGGATATATATTTCTTAAACCAGCTTTCTGATCACGTGAAGATGAGTCAAACTTCTTAAACTGTCATTTAAATATCCATGGACCTCTTCTGTGTTTTTTAGGCTTATGCCTTTAGGTGCCTCATCTTTTCCTGTATATCTGGAAAACTAAGTCAATAGGAGTGCCTACTTAATTCTGAATAAAAATCTTAATTCATATAAAACATTTTGAAGAGTGCTTGGCTAATATGTTCCTTATAAATATAAAACATCATTTATTAGTTCATCATGTACATGAGTTAAAAATCAAAATTACATAATTTATAAGTGACTTCAAAATAGGGATCTTATAACCAAGAACACATAATAAATTTATTATATATTTTTATTTATTTACTAGTAAAGTAGTAAGTATCTGGAAATAATAATCAATACTGATGATGACTTTGAGTTGTGAAATTACAATTTGTAATGACTTGGAAAATTGTAAAGATTTGCTCAAGGCTAGGAAATGATGGTTTGGTTCACACATTAAATAAAATGTTTTTGGATTTTTCAATAAATGTGTACTGGTTGTATCTCACATCATAGCACACACCCAAGGGGAAACTGGAAAATATACATTGAGTTTTTGTTGTTGTTGTTGTTTATTTGTTTGTTTGTTTGGTTGGTTGGTTTGTTTAGTGCTGGTGGGGATTGAACCCAAGCCCTTATGCATGTGAGGCAAGACTCTATCAACTGAGCTATATCCCTAGCCCTATATTAAGCTCTTTGCTGTGTGCCAAGTTATGTGCCTTGGTGTGCAGTTGTGACTACCTATAGGAAGAGAAGCTTATTTAAAATTTACACAAGGGTGCCATGTTGGCCAGCAACAGCCTTCTGAACCCACAATCTAAAGTATGTATAGTTAGCCACAAATTAACTATTCATACTACTGATAATATGAATGTGAAACATTATTAATATTTATTTCTTATATTTTTATCTTAAATAATATATCTGAATATAAATAGGAACTCAAATTTTCCTCCAATGTCTCAAAGATTTCCCTTAATGCATTATTTTAGAGAGTACTCATTTAAAGATTAATTAAAAAAACATTAAATCAAATCAATTAATTAATTAATTATAAGCTCCACACAATCACATTCTAGTCACTGTGTTATTCTTTAAGGATACATGGATAAGCAGAATAAAGTTGCCTTGGCTCCTCCATATACAATCTCACAGTCTAGGGATTTTGCAGGTAAATACAAGCATATTAACTGGAACTCAGGAAATAGATGCAGATACAGAATATAAATATCCATCTAAACCCAGGATAATGGGGTAGTTCAGAAGACTGTATGTGAAGAGGTACAACTTAGTTACTAGTCTAACTCCAAAATTTTTAACAATTAACCATTGTTATCGGGTACCCAAGATAAAACAAAAATGAAACTGTAATTATGCCCAGAGTAAACACATAGGTGAAATTTACAGTAGGCTGAATGTAGAACCCAAGGAAACTCCAATTTTCAGAAACAGACAGCAAAAGCAAAATCTTAGAAGAGATAAGTAAAAGGACCAACCCAAAGAAAACCAGGAGAGATCTGTAGTGAAATTCTAAAGAAATAGAGAATTCAAGGAAGTGCAATAAGTTATAGGCAAAAATAGTTAAAAACATTGGGTGTGATAATTAAAAGACCATTAGAGTTCTACTTGGTTGGATGTTTTTGATACCTACATCAGTGTGCGACTTTGCATTTTTCTGAACCACTCTAAGTTATGATGAAGAAGACCTAAATTTTAGGCACCAAATGAAAGATCAGTTAGGACCTCTACTCTTTACTTACCTTCTTCATAACATTTTCTATAACATACTGCTAGCATGAAACTTAATTACATTATCCAAGAGTGACCAGTTTATACATGTTCCATGATTCTGGTACTGCAGTTTTGTTTTTTTTTTTCTGTTCTCAGCTTTTCTAGTATTATTTTCTGTTATGCAAAATACATTGCAATACTGTTTATCTGTTACCAAATCAATTGCAGCTATCATTATTTATAGACTATATTTTAAACTTGAAGATACTTAAGGGAGAATTGTAGAACCCAATCATATTGGTTATAAGTCTCTTAAAGAATAGGTAATCTATGCCCCATTTTGTTCTTAAATGATGTTTAGCAAATTACTACAGTTGTGATGCCACTGAAACCATGTTAAAGATGCCCCCTTATATAATTGCCTTGAAATGTCTTATTTCAGCAGCTGATTGTTCTGTCTGTGGTTGAATTCTATGAATTTTATGAGGAGTTTCAAAGATATTCCTGTTATTCAGTATAGAATGAGGAAGTGATCTAAGAAAGTAAATTGGTGTGGGGAGGTGCTTTTTAAATCAAATCAAGCATAAACTTTTACATTTTTTTGTCAGAAATGAAAGCTTTGGCCATTACTTTATAAACTGTCTTCTGTGTTCATTTGCTTTGAAATGATTTGTTTGTTCATTAGTCGTCCTGAATGAAACCAAGCAATGCCCTCGATTCCTTTGATTTTCTTTTACTTCTCTGTAGCAGTGTGTCCAAAGTCTGTTACATTTTATTTATTTATAGAAATACTGACATTTTGATGGTGAGAATGCAGGGAAAGAAAATGATGAGCCATTATCACATTGGTGAATTAGTCAATTGACTGAGAAATAAAGGATTCTATATCATGTCATTCTTTATTTGATTCTTTTGGCATTTCAGATATTCATTATAAACTAGAAAGAATATCTATTTGCAGAATATCTTTATAATACTATAGAGCTACTTAATCTTAATAAGCATTATTCATACAATTTTCTCTAGCAACTAGTTGGGTTTTATTTTAATTATACCCTGGCTAGTCTTCATGCTATTGAATTTAAAGACAAGCCAGTATTTTATCCATTAAGATATAAAAAATGATAATTTAATACCAGGTAATTGATTTGTATGATTCATATTATAAAATTATTGTTGATGGAAACACAATGAGGTTATTTTAAACCCTTTTTCAACAAAATCACATTCATTCAGTGAAAGTCAAGGTAAAGGACATTTATATTCATTGTTTAAATTCATCAACTAAAATATTTAATGTGAAAGTACAAGTCTCAAGACTGTAGATTAGAATAGTAACAAAAGCCCTACCACTTAGTAATAAAAAAAGTCATCTGATTTATTTTAAAACTAGTTTACTTTAAAAAATGTAGCAATTTATCAACTGATTCATGATGCTGCAAGATATATGATTACTTTAAAAAAGTAACAAGTGTTATCTGTCTATTATATATATATATATATATATATATATATATATATATATACACACACACACACATTTTTGTAGTGCTGGGGATGCAACTGAAGATACCATGCATGCTAAGCATGCCCTGTATAATTTAGCTATGTCCTCAGCTGCTTTCCATATTTTATAAAATACAGATGCAGATGGAACACAGTACAAATTTCTTACACTTTCTTAAAACCATTCTGCATAATGGTTTAAAAATCCCCGTAACATCTTGCTGAGAGCCAAACTTAAAGAGTAAACTTTAAGTATGAGAAGGACATTTAAGATGGAGATAAGTAAGCGTTCTGCATGATCTCAGTACCAAACCATCAGTTCTCAGTTGCATTACAACTCTTCATCCTTTCTTGCCAGGTGACATAGGAACTTTACCTCAAAACATTTATTAGGTGACTGCTCTATTCAAGACACTGCTAGGTTCTGCATGTATTCTATGTGATTAAATATTAACACATACTTTGAAGTATGTTTTACTGCTATAATTTTACAGATAAATGTCATTCATGAAAAATCACTCAGCTGGTAAGTGATAGAGTCAAGATTTAGACTCAGATCTTTAAGACTTGCATCCCCTGTTCTCAAACACAGCTTTGTTATGACCCACAAGTTTTATATGTAAGTTTTCTCATTTTTAAAATGAAGACATGATTTTTACTCTATGTATGCACAGAGTTTTTGTCATAGTTATTTCTGGATGGGTAAAAATTTATTATTTTTGCTCCCACTCCATCCCCAATGGTACTTGCCTGGTCATGGTACCTACTTCAATGTCTTATCAACATATGTGACAATAATGCCAATGTATGAACAAAAGCTTTAATGCAAATTGATTTGATCAGCTTGGCATGCCTTGTGCTTCTCTCCTCTGCTGCAATAATAGAACATTCCAGATAGAAGTTGTTTCTGTGACCTGAATAACAGAATGAAATGTCAAGTGGAGCTGAACTTCATTCAACCCAGGGACCTACAGCAACCACAGACAAGCTGCAGACCTTCATACAAGATGAGGATGAGTAGATCCTTGCTTTTAAGCCACTTTCATTTAATGGATTGTTTGTTAGCTCAGCAAAAACTAATACAAATTGATATCAAGGATCTAATGTTTTAATAGATATTGATGTATGAGTAAATGCTTGAATCATTCTCCCCTTGAGAAAGTATCTACACAGTTAGAAGAGTTAGGGGTTTAATGAGTGAGGAAATATTGTCTTTTGTTAGTATAGCTGGGAGAAAATAATTTTCCTAAGTCAATACTGAGTCAAATCTTCACCATCTTCAGTATCCATATATTTTTTCATGAATAATATATGTGCACAGAGAATTCTCAGAGGTTTTCAAATAAAATTATTGCTGCATTTGAAAGGATCTATTACATCCTGATGTGAAACTTACAAAATGATGTAGTTTAAAGATAATCTTTGAAAGTTATTATCCTTGGAATTGGAAAAGGTTTTATTAGTTTATGATAAGATTTGGTTGCAATTTATTAATTAAAGAGTTTATTGGAAAATCTCATATCAGACTGTTGAAACACTTTTGAGTGTTATTAAATGTCTAATTGTACTACAGTTTTCATCCATGAACTTTCAGTACTTGTGAAGGCAAAACATGTTTTGTTTTAATTTTCATATTCCCTAGGCTTATCACAAAAACTTATTCAGAGAAAACATAGAATAAATTATAGAAAGGGGTATTATCACTACCCAGAATTCCTAGATTAAAGAAAGTATTGGAGATCATTGTCCAGTTGTGTCTTTGTGTCTGTTTAATTGCCTAATTATAATAACTTGACATTTACAAGACAGTCAATATGCTTCTTCTCCTTAGGTCTTCAGATCTTTGCAAGCTGTATCTACCTCAGATTCACATAAAATTACACAGATTTGTTGCCCAATATCACACAAAGCAAGATTTATCAACTTCTTACTCCATAGCTCATGTTCTTTCTTCTCAGTTAAGCAGATTAGAAAGTCAATATTAAAGTAGAAAAGAAAGTCAGAAAAATACAACATCACCTGTCATGTGACACTTTTCATTATCATGAAAAATCAGAAATTTATGATTTGAACATATAGCAATGGATTAATTGTAATTTTGTAAACATGGGGCCAAAATTTTTGTTACAGATTTTATTTCAGAAAATCTATTTTCCAGGAATTCCAGAAAATCTCAAAGTAAATATCAATGATATTTGTGTAAGCTTTACAAGTGTTAGAAAATTCAGGTGTAAAATAAACCTAAGAGAATAACAAATATACTAAAGTATTTCACATCAGAATATTCAGTTAGGAAGAACAAAATCCTGTTAAGTACACATAAACTCTTTTAAAAAAATTACATAATTTTGCATATCTTACATCCAAAGTATATTAATGCCCTGAAGACATGCCAAAGTATGGTAATGCCACTAGTTGAAATAGTTCTAGAAGTGGGTCCTGCCCACATGATCACTCTGTTGACATGTTTTTGCTTGACCTTTTTAGCTTCCCATGGCAGATGTCCCATGTTGTCGCCATCTCTTAATCATTGGGGAACTCCATTGATGCTTCTCTCTCCTTCTCCCAGCTTCTTATACTTTGTCCTCTCCGGGGGGGCTCCCTGCAGGGATTCTGACCCTTGCACACTTTGTCTGGCCTTCCAAGTCTTCCTTTAAAATCTTGGTGGAAGTCTCCATGACCCCTTAACTCCAGCATCTTGCAATCCTGTAGGACCATTACCATGTGAACCACTGCAAAGTCTGCTGTCAGCTCAAACAGTGGCCAAAATTCCTGGAACCATGACTGCAGTGGCCTCTAAATGCCTGTGTGGCCAAGCATTATAAAAAAATTTTTCTCACTGTCCTACCTATGTGGAAGCAGGATGACCCACGGTCTCTTCTCAAAGGTGATTTTATTTTTAGACCCTTGAGTCTGTTATGGGTGTGATCTTGCCAAATCCTGAGATGCCCTCAAGCCATCTTTCCTATTGTCTCTGTGTAAAGTACTTAGCATCTCTTTAGTGGCTATAATCTCTTAAACAATCATAACCTCCTTAGACCCAGTTTTACACACATTTTTTTTTTCTGGACAAATTATAATTTTTCCTTTCTTCTTCTTTCTCTGAGTATCACAGAAATCTTGGTTGAAAGATATCAGCAATATCCATTACACTGCCTGAATGGTGTTCTTCCTTGAAATTTTTTTCTACCAAACTAATCAGCCAAGCATACTTAAATTCAGCCTCCAAGAAATTCTGAGGACATGAGCAAAATTTAAACAACTTCTTTGCCAGAATGCAGTATGAATGACTCTAATTCAATTTTAAGGAGTCTTCCTTCTGCTCTGAAACCCCATGAGCCCAGTCTTCACAAACCACAGTCCTATTAGCATTCTGGTTTTCTGACACCCCACCAAAATGACCCAATATGTTCTGCTTACAACTTTCTAAGGCTTCTTCTGCCAGCATCTCAAAAGTTTCTAAACTCCTTCTGTAAACCAGTCTTAAATACATTTGAACCACATGGTCAGGTTAGTCACAGCAATGTCCCCACTTCTCAGTACAATTTTTGTATTAGTTTTGTGTTGCTATGACCAAAAGACCTGACAAGAACTTCTGAGAGGAAAAATAAAATATTTGGGCTTACTGTTTCAGAGCTCAGTCCATGGTAGGCTAGCTCCATAGCTCTGAGTCTCATGAGGCAGAGATTCATGCTGGAAGGATGTGACGGGGAAAAGTAATTCAGGACATAACAGCAAGGAAAGATGGGGTGAAGCACTCTGATAGCCAGGGACAAAATATATTCCAAGGAAATTTTTCCTGTGAGACACTTAATTCAGCCATGCCCCACCCCTGCCTCCATAAAGTTACCACCTATCTATCAATCCATTCAGATTATTTATTTGGTCATAGCTCTCATGAATATTTCTGCATTGCTTCACACTTGAGCTTCTAGGAGACACTTAATATTGAAACCATAACACCTTTCCTCCTGGAAACAGTGATTACTTCACTAAAAAAGTTTCCCTTTTTAGACTGGACAAGGGAGAAACCAAATGACAGTAAGCAACACATTAATTTGGATCAATGTGAATCATACAAATTTCAATTTGTTAAAAATTTCAATTTTCTTCTTTTTCTCTAATTCGCTTTAATTTTCTTCTATACTCTTGAATTCAAAATGATGCAGGGTGGAACTATTCACTGTCTTTTCATGATATGAAGACTGAGGATAAAGTCAACACAGGGAAGAGATGGGACTCTAGGAAGGGGTGGAATAATTAGGACCTGTTACACTTAGTGTGAAAATGCCATTTCAGACTTGGACTTATTAACCAAAAAAAAAAAAAAAGATTTTGCTCTGTTTAATATAGTCCCACACCCACCCACTCTTTCTTCCTTCCTTTCTTTCTTTCTTTCTTTCTTTCTTTCTTTCTTTCTTTCTTTCTTTCTTTCTTTCCTTCTTTTCTTTCTTTTTCATTCAGTTAATCACCAATCAGGCATCAACTTCCTCAGACTAGAACTTATTGTGTTCCAGCAAGAATCTCAGCTACCACAGGAGTTAAAGATGGACCAAGTCCCCATACTCTACCAATTTAAGCTCTAGTAGAGGAAGAAGGCATACCTGCACTTATTTCTGATAAGGAAATATGTAATAATTAACATATTTCATTTCTTCCTTATTGCTAATATTTGAAAGTTGGGCTATATTTTTTACTTTTTGGTAAATGCTGTTGCAAACTTCCTGACCCCACAATCAATATCTATCTGTCTCACTATTTCTCTTAATTTATATGCTACTACTCTGCCTCTGACTCACAGTGCTTCAGGTCTTCTGGGGATATTTCTGTCATACTATAGCCTCAAGTTCTGTGCATCTTATCTTTAATTAGCAAAGACTGTACTTCTTCCATTGATCCACAGTGTGTGCTCCATGCTATCCTTCAAATGTCACATTTTAATGAACATATACTCATATCACCTATCCCTTTCTCCTGGCCTTAATTCTGTTGCATTTGCCACAATTTGTATTAAGTAGTCTATGTATTTTTTCACTATTATTATCTTATTTCAGAATTTCCCACCAGAAAATAAGCTCTAGGAAGCAGTCATTTGAAAGAAAATACCACAGAAATATGCATTATGTATAAATGCAACAAAATAATATGATATAGTAGCACTTAAGATCATACAAAGTAGTTTTGATTTGCATTTCTCTATTTGCTAGAGATGTTGAACATTTTTTTCATATATTTGTTGATTGATTTATTTCATTTTCTGTGAAGTATCTGTTCATTTCCTTATCCCATTTATTAATTGTGTTATTTGGGTTTTTTTAGTTCTTTATATATATTTGAGATTAATGCCTACCTGAAATGCATGTGGTAAAGATTTTCTCCAAATATGTAGGCTCTTTCTTTACATTGTTGATTGTTTCTTCTGCTGAGAAGTTTTTCAGATTGAATTCATCCCATTTATTCATTCTTGTTTTTACTTCTTGTGCTTTAGGGGTCTTGTTAAGAGAGTCAGATCCTAGCTGACATGATGGAGATTTGGCCTACTTTTTCTTCTGTTAAGCTTAGGGTCTCTGTTCTAGTGCCTAAGTCTTTGATCCACTTTGAATTGAGTTTCATGAAGAGTAAAAGATAGAGGTTTAATTTCATTTTTTTTACATGTGGCTTTTCAATTTGTTGAATAGGCTATCTTTTCTCCAGTGAATGCTTTTGGCTCCTTCTTCTAGTATGAGATAACTGTGTTTATGTGGGTTAGTCTCTGTGTCTTCTATTCTGTACCACTGGTCTACATGTCTGTTTGGGTTGCAGTTATCAAGAAAACAAGCAACAATAAATATTGGCAAGGATGTTGGGAAAATATATACATTGCTGGTGGGAATACAAATTGGTGCAACCATATGGAAAGCGGTATGCAGACTCCTCAGGAAACTTAGAATGGAACCATCATTTGACCCAGCTATTCTATTCCTCAGTCTATACCCAAAGAACTTAAAATCAAAATATTACAGTGACATAGTCACATTAATGTTTATAGCAACTCAACTCACAAATAACTAAACCATAGAAGCAGGAAAATATTATTCAGTCTTAAAGAAGAATGAAATTGTGGCATTTGCCAGTAAATGGACTAAGTTGGAGAATATCATACTAAGCCAAATAAGCCAATCTCACAAAAATGAAAGCCAAATGTTTCCTCTGATATGCAGATTATAATTCACAATTAGGGAAATGGGCTAGGGAACAATAGAGTTACTTTATATTTGGTAGAGGAGAGTGGAAGGATGGGAGGGGATATGGGTTTAGGAAAGATAGTAGAAAAAACAGACATTATTACCTTATGTACATATATAACTGCCTGACCAATGTAACTGTACAATCAGAAAAATGAGAAATTATACTCCATTTATGTAAGATATATCAAAGTGCATAAATGCATTCTACTGTCATGTGTAACTAATTAAAACAAATTATAAAAAAATTTTAAAAATCATCCAAAGACTTGGGGAAAACTTCCTGCAAAAATCTGAGCTGAGTGTTGAAGAAGAGATATAAAAGCACCAGTGAGACAGAACATAATGACAACGGCACTGGTCTGTCACCAGGGCTCCATCTTTGTATTGTGCCTTCCATCAACCACCATTTTCATAGATCTCCTTTTCCCAAAGACATTAAATCATAAGTAAAAACTTATAAAATCCCATTTTCTCGTAAGTTTCAGATTGAAAAGAGAATAGTCTCATTCTCTTTAGCTTAACAGTTTTACCTCTTCTAAAAGTATACACTTATTTAAACTTGACATGCTTATTTTGACTAGATTTTACATTAATTCTGAGCTTTTTCAATGAAATTATAATTATATATATATTAATGCGGAAAAAGCTTATGCAAGATAGTGTATTTAACCTTTTAAAAGAATCATACTTCCATGTCATAAACTAATGAGACTGCAAACTTTGTATTTCAATTTATTTACAATGTAAATCCTCAAAATTACATTAGTAAACATATATAAACATTTTAATCTTTTTCTTACCTCACGATATTTTTGAATCACAAATGTTTGACCTTTGAAGGAGATACAATCAAAATATGAACTATAGGCATGCTATATAAAACCTGTATTTGCCAGTTTTGTATGTTTTACACAGCATTAGGGGAGTGACAGTCATGTTTCATTCTGAAAATCAAGCACATTTTAAAGAAATTGTATGCATTAATGTGAAGTTATTTAATCACTTGTAATCTAAAATACCAATATGATTTTGATTTTATTTTATAATTATTATGATAATGGTGACATGGATTGAACCAGGAAAGCTTAACCATTGAGTTATATCCACAGCTATTTTTATTTTATTTTTTTCTTTTGAGGTAGGGTCTCATTAAATTGCTTAGGGTCTCACTAAATTGCTGAGGCTGGCTTTGAACTTATGGTTCTCTTACCTCAGCCTTCCCAGCCACTGGGATTACAGGCCTGTAGCACTGCACCTGGCTGATATTTATTTCCAAATAAATTTAATTTATAATATTCCTTATTTGACTGAATAATTTTTAGAGCAATTTTATGTTTACAGAAAAATTGGCAGACAGCACAGTAAGTTCTAATTATTGCCTCTCTTTCAACATATACTTTCTCTTACTAGTATCATCTTGATTAATATTTTATTAAATTTGATAACAAATATTTATATATAACTAATTATATCTCCTATTTTTCATTAACATTAACCTGACATAGTAATGTCTATGGGTATGGACAAGTATAAAATTATATGAGTATGTACCATTTATATTATCATATGGAATACTTTCACTGTCCCGATAGTTCTATGTTCTACTTCAAGTCTTACTTTGAAAACAACTAAAGTAACTGCAAGTCTGATTAATATTCTTATTTATTAAGTATTTATTTTATTAGTATTCTTTTCCTTACTGAATTTAGAAAGCTGAGCAGACATGAATGTATGGAAAGCATGTGTATGTTTGGTGAGAGAGGTTTCCCTTTTTACACTGGACAAGGGAGAGACCAAATGACAGTAAGCAACACATTAATTGCTCAATAAAATGATGAGATACTAATTACCAATTAATATATTATGAAGCTAACTAAACCAGACAGGAGATATGGGAAACTCAGGTGATACTTATCAGGAAACACAACAAAAGTTTAGTACATACGATTTTATAAGAATAGAGCTGACACAGAATTATTAGGCCATTTGTTTCAAATTATACCTTTCAACCTGTATTGTGTATCAAAATTACTTTGGGTTTCTATTAAATTTAGACTTTTTTTGTCTGACTCTCCAAGAATCTGATTAGTATTAGTATGGCAATACCTAGATACATATTATGTTTTAACAAAAAAACATAACAATTCTGATAGAAGTAGTCTACAGATCAGAACAACGGAAGTAAAGCTCTCAGAAAACACTGCACAGTTACTTTTGACACAGAAATACGAATAATTGCATTCACTGTCAAAGCAGACAGGTCGATGCCACCTTAGCAAGTGACTTGAACCACCCACTCACTGTGTATAGTATATGCATTTTAAATCATTTGATTAATGGTTTTCTAACTTACCTTCTGAAGGTTGTTCCCGGATATAATTGGCATTATATTCAAGAATCTTTCCTGCTCTATTTCATTTGCTATAATTTGTCAATTTGTCTATTTCATTTTGTTTGTGACTCTATGATGACTAAAAGCTGATATTCACTCTACATAAAGAAAATGGTGATGAAATCTATCCCATCTATTCTGATTTTTCTTCAGATTAATTCCCTCCCACTACTTTAACCTTTCTTCACAGTGTTTCTTCTCCATCCCTTGACTCATTTGTATTATGCATGAAGTTCTTTTTATCACATTTAAAGTACTGGAAATGGGCACAGTGATCTGTTTATGACTAATGTGGAACACAGTGGATCAAGTCTAGGGCTACATAAGAGTAGCTTTTATATTACTACTAATGATGCCATTTGAATAGGGTTGTGTGACTAACAAAATACTTATCCATGGATTATTCTATTTATTAAGCAGGTGTATTTACAACACCTCAGTGTTATAGACAAAAAAAATCTAAGCTTAGAAGTGGTAAGAAATTCAACTTCAATTTATTATTTTAAATATTTTTTAGTTGTTAATCGATGTTTATTTTATTTATTTTTATGTGGTGCAAAGAATCGAACCCAGTGCCTCACACATACAAGGCAAGCGCTCTACCACTGAGCCACAACCTCAGCCCTCAACTTCAATTTAAACAACAAATATGTTTTCTCAAATTTCTTTGTTTTTGTTGCTGTTATTTTCCCTGTGTTTCAGTTCAATATAG